TTTGCAACAAAGGGTAAGCATTATTTGATTTTAAGGCGAAGCTTTAAACGTTTCCTTTCTTCTATGTCGTCTTATATTCATAAAAACGACATAGAAGTTGTAATAAAATATTTTTATTACGCCGAGCCTAAATCAACTTATGCTTTAACTTTCTGCATTTGAAACTGTATTTGTGTCACATTAGAAATAAGCTCAGCCTTATAATTCAATGATGAATTTCAATCTTTTATGGCACAATACCCTTTTCGAAGCACATTTTCACTTTCTTTACACCTGTGTATTACATTAACATAATTCTAACGATATGTTTATTTTATTTACAGTTGGGTCTTCCAGCAGAACTTCCATTGGAATTTATTAACGGTGGACACGGTGTGAAGAATCCTTTGGCTACTGAAGCTAATGCAAGGCAAAGGGAAGAGGAGAAAAACAAACAAGTATTAGTTAGTGAAGACGACCCCACGAAGTTTGTATGCAGGGTCTGCTCCAAGAACTTCAGTTTACAGAGGCTCTTGAACCGACATATGAAATGTCACTCGGACGTGAAGAGATACTTGTGTACCTTCTGTGGCAAAGGGTTCAATGACACCTTCGATCTAAAAAGACACACGAGGACGCACACTGGTGTGCGACCATACAAATGCAATCTCTGCGAGAAATCGTTTACCCAAAGATGCTCACTGGAGTCCCACTGCTTGAAAGTCCATGGAGTCCAACACACCTACGCATACAAAGAGAGGAGGACTAAGGTAATTATCACTGTATTCGTATTCGCTGTAAGCATCTAGTCAATTATTGCAATAAAATATTTTAAACATATTTTCTTCACTTGATAAGAGGTTGAAGATATCACCAATAACAAAAATCTGTTTTATTAATTTCAGATGTACGTTTGTGAAGAATGTGGACACACGACATCAGAACCTGAAGAGCACTACATGCACCTAAAGAAACAGCATCCATACTCACCTGCGCTGCTGAAGTTCTACGACAAACGGCACTTCAAATTCACCAACGCGACGTTCGCGAACCAGCTCCTAGGACAGCTGCCAATGCCAGTACACAACTAAACACATATAAATGATAATTTCATAACTGTTATTACTAGTACTTGCAAACATTAAAGACATTTTGTTGTGCTATTAAACAACATACTGTGGGCATTTCACATACAACAATGCAAGCGTTGTAGCGCTATCCAAATATACAGAACAATTTTGTCTGTAATGGCTACAAGTGTCAAACAACAGGTACCAATTAAGGTATCGGATTTTTTCAACAACATGGTGAAATTTTAACGAATATGGCATAATTGTACTTAAAACTACGAATTTATTCCGTCCGTTTTATACGTATACTTACAATATAATTACTAAAAGAAACCCAGTTCTTATTTTAGTTCAATTTGAGCCTGCACACTCGAAATTCCTCTTAGTTATATGTAATCGATTTTGTCTTCCAAACTACTATTGTAGACATTCCGTGTTTTAGGACGATACATATTTATTTATGTATAAAACCACGGAACAGTATCCATGTTTTGTTCCAATGAAAAAATACCTTAATTTTTTAACAGTCAATGTGAAATAATCCACTGGCCTATAGCTAGGCATGACTGCAATTAAAAAATCAAAGTATCGGGTATTATGTGCAATCTTTGGTGATGGTACGGGATTACGTTTAAGTTTCGTATTAAGATAGTTTTAAATAGCTATAGTCCGATTGTCTCATAGAAATCGATTGTAAGTTTCATTTCAAACCAGCCTGGGTAGCCAGGGGAGATACGATAGCCGAGAGGGAGTAAAATGGATGGTGCTAGATATGATATTAATGTTGCTGACTTGAAATGAAGCGGTTATGGATCGGATGACACTTCTTGTCCGACCCATAAGCAAATATCAAAGCTTTTGCTTTGGTATTAAAATAAATCCACGGTAAGGAATCTCTTTCCTCGTTTTAGTGATACTAGCTCCTAATTATTTCTCAAATTAATAACACAAATTATGTCACAATTTTAATTTGTATTGTAACTATAGAAAAATGTTATGTTTGTTTATTGTTTTGTACTTTAATAAAGTCCAAATTTATTAAATTCGATAGTGGCGCCCTGATGCGGCGCCCGACATGTCGTACCAAGTTGAACTGCATTTCTAGAAGTATTTATATTATTTAAATTAAAATATTGATCGGTTACAGTTTGTGCTGTGAGTGTGTGTGAGAATTATGTATTGTGTAAATGTGTTATTTAATGCGTCAATTGTTATAATTTTAATTAGACATCAAGGTCGACTTGATGAAGCGCTTCCGAGTTTTGAAAGAGGGTATAAAAGACTATGATGCTCAATTGATACATTTGCGCTTTCACAGCGAAGCTTGTGGATAAATTATGTACTTAAAGAATTGTAAATATGTCTAAATTTAGAGAATAGTAGTAAAAATTGAGAATGTAATATGCATAATTATGTTAGTAGTACCTACTTAGCATTTATGAGATTTTTTAAAAGATAATTGTTAAAGTATTTTGTACAATTCGGCAAGATGGAATAGATCTGAATATTTTTATATTGGCTTATCATTGGTCGGTGCATCGACGGTCCGTAACAATTGTGATAGCGCAATGCCTTCGTTAAACATACTTGTCTGTTGCATTTATTAGCATTTTGATACAATTTCAAACTGTATTTTAAGAAACAAACAATTTGTTACTCTGTATTGATAAGCAATATATCATCAATAAAATTTCTGTAGTTTCATTCATAGATTTAACTGAAAAAAAAAACAATGATTTTAATTATTTACCCTAAGCCTACCAGTATCTTACAAATCTTAGATCTTGATCCTGCGAGTTTCATTTCATCCTTATACTGATAAATGTTGGAGACTACTACTGAAACGTGACACAAAACATAGTGAAGAGACGTTAACATACTATGGGTGTTTAAAAAGTCTTGATCATACACTATATTTGTTAATTAGTCTGTTTTAGGCTTTAAAAAAAAAATCGGCTTTGCGCATCGTGAGCGAGAGAAGCACCTTTTACCTTACAGGGGAATAGCTAAAGACTATTTCTAACATGCAGTTCATATATACATACACATTAATAATATTTTGAAATAAATTTATACAACCTAATTATAACTCGACTAACAGAAACGACATTTTGGGGACAAGCTCTTTTAATCCAATTGGAATATTATGTCAACTTCTAATCACCATATCAGAAAATTATACATAATAGTTACATGAAAAAATAATAATAAAAACTTCGTAAAGGTTCAGTTACGTTAGTTTTTTTATAACACAGATTTCTCCCTTGAGACTACGATATTACCAAAAATGATGGAAAGTCACGTAATTGAAATGAAAATCAATTAAATTAGTAAACTTTTACACAATGTGACAGTGTCCTTTATTACTTCGAGGGAGCAAGACTGCTACGATCATGGAAGTATCCGAGGATTCAATGAAAAATGATCTAATGAAAGATTACGTCGCAAAACTCAAAAATATCTTTCGTATATTAGAAACGACTGGGTATTGTCGATTTGTGATCAGAAATGACAAGATGGTGGAAAGGAATCAAGGAACGATGTTCTACAATATTTGCGTTTTATTGTGCGCAAACGCGAGTGCAGCGTACTTATTATGGTTCTCAAACCCCACGGAACAGTACCTAAGCCTAGTGGAATACATAGCTATTATATATTTTACAGTTTTTGCAAATTTACTCATGTCCAACATAACATTTGGTGATAACTACATTGGTTTGGATTTAATGCATAATAATGTAAATATCGACACATTACTAGGAGTTGAAGAAACAGGTTTTATGCGAGATGTATCGCTCAAGCTATATATAATTATCCTGATCGTGATAGGATTCACCCAAGTGACGGTCGTGGCCTATATGTACTATGTGTTCCATGTATCCATAGCGATACATGTGGTAGGAAGTATTTATTTCCTCTGGTTATTCTTCGCCTACGACGAATTTTGTTTTTTTATATATCTGAATTCCTTTATTGCTATGCGGATACGTTACTTGAATATAGCTTTGATAAAATTTACGAAAATCAATAAGGAGTATATACCTAAACAAACTATTTTTGATGCACTCTTTTGGAAGGATGAGTACGATGATCGAATAACATTCCACGAAAGATCTGATACGAAGAACTTTTCCGTCGCTCTCAAAATGCTCTTCGCGCAATTACGTAGAATTGAGGATTGCTATAGTTTTGTAGTAAGTGTCTATTGAATACAATAGTTTCCAACTAGTCAAATTCAATACTTTTATCCAAATGTCAAAAACTAGACTTTTGTTTAAAACTACTCTAAATTATGATGTCATGGTATTTTTGCGTCAAATAGTATACTTATTTCTTAAAAATTTGCTAAATAATATCGAAAATGTAGTGTATCGACAGATTGATGAATAAATGTATAGTAATTTTTCAATATTTTATTGTATTGAAACGTCGAATTAATTTATTTTTGACCCATTAAGGAATTGTTTTATTTAAATTCGAAGCGGTAATAAATGTTGTTTGTTTTAAGCTTGTTCTAGGTGCAGTAACCATTGCAGTGGGGTCTTTGGTGGCAGTACAAACATTTATAATGTACATTCAAACGTCTGAAGTATGTATCAGTGACTAAGTAACTGATTAAACATAATTTTGGTTTAATTCTGACGAAACTTCTACTATAAAGTGTGACTTAATTGAAAGTCGATCAAAAAGACTAAGGGCTGATTTTTCGCTAAAGGTTATCTGGGGAATAATTTTGATGCTGTCGCGTCAGAATGTTTGTATAAGACAGTGACAGGATAACATTTATCTAAATAGGTAATGAAAAATCAGCACGTAGTCAAAATTAACTAATAAGTATCTGTTGAAATTTAAATAAAATCCCTTCATGTTCCTTTGAAGTCATAAACTTTTATAAAGGTTCTAGGAAACCAAAACAGTTTTATTCTTATTCTTTTCTTATTTTTCTAGACAATGATAATACGGGCGACTGCTATGTTAGGCTGGTCAGTCGCCAGTTGGTTCCACCTGCTGACAACCAGCATGCAGACAGATCTGTTCTTTAAAGAAATAGAACAAATGAAGCTCATTTGTGCTTATGTTCAACTTAAACCGAGTAGCTCTGGTAAGGAAGATACATATATTGGCAAAATTTATAAATTTGTTGAATTCACAACTATAAGTATTAAACTAGCGATAGTGCAATGCTGATACTAAAGTAATCTACTATTTAATTGATGTTATTACATATAAATCTTCCTATTCATTCAATCATCATCATTATCATCAGCCTATAAGTGCCCACTGCTGAGCAAAGGCCTCTTCTCATACGGAGAAGGTTAGAGCATTAATCTCCACGCTTGCTCAATGCGGGTTGGCGATTTCAAACTTATAATTAGAAATTAAAAGTCCAGGTTCCCTCACGATGTTTGCCTTCACCGTATGTCAGTGATGTCTAAATAATCATAGAAAGTACATTTAACTCGGAAAAAGTCACATTGGTACTTGCCGGGTTTCGAACCCACACCCATCATCATCATCATGCATGAGAAGCGGGCTCCTGGACCTTCGGGCCACCACGTCATTATTCAATCAATATACCTATCTTTTTAAAACCGTCTCATAATTCATTGAGTGGTTTTAAAGGTTTAAGCATACATAGGTACATAAGGACAGAGAAAGCGACTTTATTTTGTGTGTACTATGTAATGATGAAGCACTATCTATTTGCAAATTAGCCTTGCCCAAATAACACTTGTGTCGTGGGATATTAAGCTTTTTTCACTTGTGGAGTTATAAAAACATTAGACGTTTAGAAAAGTGAACCTTAAAAAAATAATACCTAATAAAAATATAATTATTTTCAGCGGAGATATTGAAACTGACGAAAGAAATTCTGAAAACATTGGAAGTTAGAGATGCCCACGTTTCAGTGTACGGTATGTTCTCATTCAACACGGGCCTGGTACTGAAAATAGCAGCCTCTACCTTCGTCTACATAACTGTTCAACTTCAGTTAGCATTTCCTAATTTAAAAGAAGTTCATAAAACTGTGAACGTTACACTACCGCCTGCGGAGTTTGATTTTGACCCAAGAAAAGTCAAAGAATTTTGGTTCTTGTAAAATAAGCATTTAAGGTAGCAATTTCAGTTATATATTTGCATAGAAATGGACTAGTTAGCGATTAATAGGTAGATAAAACTGCTAAGGAAAATAATTTTATGAAGTTTCATCATGTATGAAGATTCATTTGAAATAAATTATTTTGCTTCTAGTTTAATATTTGATTATTTTATTTACCTTTACAAATAAAAAGTTGTCATAGGTAATTTTAGATCGCCCTCTGTTTTATTACAAAATTAATAATAATTAATTTCTGTAGGTACATACTTAATCTCTTCACTATTTAATGAATGTTATTACACCATACTATTAAATCATTCTTCAAAAACCCAACGTATCAAAATAAATTGCGTAGTTTTAAAGATTAGATTCAATAGCATACATAAAGATCTTTTTTTGTGAGGGGAAAATCATCAAATGATTTGATGAGGAGGGAGTGTCAGACATTTACTGACTAAAAACCCCCCTGTTCCTTCTCCTGCTCTGGGCCGAGGTCGCGGTGCCTCATTGCGCTTACCCCGCAACCCGCATACATAAAGATCTAAGGACCGAGAAAGCGACTTTGTTTTATGCTATGTATACCTATACCTACCTATAGTAATATTTACTTATTTAGGGTTTTAAACAACGTAAACAATATGAGACAGCCATCAAAGGTTTAGTTTCCCAACGCTTATATAAACTACCAAACAAAACAACTGAAAGAAAATATCTACAAAGGTCAAACATAGATATTAATACGGTGGCAACACATGCCTTTAACTCGCCTTGAGCGAGCTTGGTGATCAAAATAGTATATTTTTTTTGGTTCAAGTCGAAAAAAAATTTTTGTGATTTTTGCCGAGACCCCTCTCCGACTCTCGTCAACGTAAGATTACATGAGATTTGACTCGACCCCCTCCCCCTTTAAACATCTCGCGTAATTAGTGGATTCCCCCATAATTTGAAATGCCGTGTGGTGTTACGATTGAGTTGTTTGTTGTGTGTGTTGACGTAGCGACCTCCTAAACTTATAGATTATCTGTATTAAAATCTTAAACAAAAAATATGTTCATTTTCCATTATCTACTGACCGTCAAATTATTGAACGACAAACTCAACGAGTTCGTAACGTTAACCTCTATCTATCCTATTGGGAAATAAAGTAAAGAGTCCAAACAAAATAAAAATCTACGTCAATTTTTTAAAACAAATTAATGCATTGATTTGACTCGAGTCATTTATTAATTGAACTTGATTTCACTCTAGGGTTTTGATATATCAATACCACAGTGACGTGAGTAAAAATAAACTTATTAGTAAATAAAAATAATCCGACTCCGATTATTTGTACTTAAACACCACAAAATATTTTTTGTTGGTCAGTCAAGCCCGCCGGGACCTCCCAAAACCACTGCCACACCTGTAAACCAGGATCTACAGTAGATACAACAGTGAAAACACCGAAACACTGAAGTCACAGGATCATGAATGGCTATCCTGAATCGCGGGTTAAGCGCAATAACGTACCGCGAACGCCCAGCCGGCGCGAGCAGGAGAATGAACGGGGTGGTTTCTAATCAGTATCACCACTTCGACACTCCTTCTCAGTCTTCTTACCCCACTAGGGGCGGAAGATGACATTTGAGGATTTTTCCCCTAAAAAATAAATACTTACTTAATCGGTAGGATATCCCTGCCATCTTTGTTAGGGGTTTACCTAATCAAATATCGTATTTTATATGAAATTAATCGGCAAACGAGCATACAAATTATCTAATATGTAAGCCATCGGCGCCGCCCATAGACACCCGTTACAGCAAAAGAGTTACGAATGCGTTGCCGGCCTTTTGGGGATAAAGGTTTCGGATATTTAAGGATTTAGAAGGGATGGGGGAGGGGTAGGGATTGGGCCTCCGGTAACCTCACTCATACGGCGAAACACAACGATGTGATTTTTTCAGGCCGATTTTTGTGTATGTGTGGTATAATTTCGGTCGTGCCGCAGCTGGGCTCGCCCACACGTAACCTGTGGAAAATCATCAATGAAATAAAATGAGAACAGAGGTTTGGCTGGTAGGATCACTCTTGCTGCAAGACTCATTTCTGCTGTTAAAAAAATGTTAAATTTTCTTTTTTTATGCGTTTTTGAATGTAGGTATATTATTATTTATGTACACCTTTGCCTATACCTTCAGGGATTAAAACAGATGAGTCTCGTGATGTCACATGCTATGTTATTTTTTATTTTTCAGGTTTTAAGCCATCATGAAAACTCACCGGCCTCAAACATTTGTAAAGAATAGGTTCTGAATGACGTAGATTTTGTTAGCTAATGAGTCACATTCTTTTGTCGAATATTTCTGGCATATCTTTTTCCAATAATTCATAGTTCTGTTGATTTCGAATTTTAACAAGAATTTGAAGATATATTTTGTGTTACGTAGTAATGTAGGTACATGTAGATATGTTTTAATATCTGACTAGACTAGATGGATATTAATTGTATAAATAATATAACCGCGAAAAGTTTTAAGTTTGAAGAAATGTAAGTACTAAATGGATGTCAATAAAGATATCTGGAATAACGCATAAGCTTTTCATCCGTATACGCGGGGCCGCAGCAACTAGAATAGGTACCTATTATTTTATTCTACTAAATTATATCTAAAAGATGCTAACGAAAGTAAGATATTTCGTCAAATTTTTCCTCATTAAATGTGAAAATATGTAATCATGTATTGAAACAAAACATATGCTAATAAGAACACAATGCCTTACAGTTACGCAACGTGTTTTTATAAAACAGAACCATTACTTATAATTTTATAAAAGACCTTTTATCTTAAAGACAAAAAAATATACTTAATAATAAAACATTTTCTTAAGAAAATTAAAATACTCTTAAATCGAAGAGATTTCATTATTGGCTATGTGTAAAGCAAATAGTGGCGGACAGATAACGACCGCAGCGCACAACATGGCAGAAATTGGAAACAAATGTGGATGATCAGCTGTCGGTTTTTATTGTTATATTCATTTTACAGTAAAACTATTGAATAAATTGCACTTAAATAATGACAACAACACTATTTTAATCTTTGGTTTATTTATATTTGCAAAGACAATTATAATGTTTACATTGTTATTATATAGCAGCTCCCGCAAATGTTGTAAGCGCTAGGCGTCGCCGTACAATACTTATTTTATTCTAATATAATCCCAGAAATTAAATTCTTAACGCATAAATATTCGTCAGCTGGCTTGTTATTTACTTGTACAACTTCTAGAAAAATCTATATTTTGTGCGTAGGTTCGAGATTCGTGTGCAAAATGCTTTTGAAAAGCGTAACATTGACGGCCGTATGAATAACAAGTTACCTTCCTTAGTTTAGGTGCCTTAGGATGTGTACACAATTGAGCGGCTCTATAGGAACCTTGAAGTTCTAATGTAGAATATGTAGGTATGACATAAGTATTGAGTATATGAAATCATTTACTAATCATTAGATAAATTTAGGTAAGTTATATGTTTTATGTGATAGGAGATAGGCATACAAGCAGACAGATAACCTGGAAAGCAATCAGCGCCGCCCATGGACACCCGCGACATTTCCGCAACACGGAATTACGAGTGTGTTGCTGACCATCTCGCAATTAGGGATTTCAAGAATTCTGGAAGGATTGGGCCTCCGGTAACCTCATTCACACGGCGAAACACAACAATGTGGTTGTTTGAAGAGGGTTTTCTGTGAGGCCGTGGTATCACTCTGGTCGAGCCGAACTATCCGTGCCGAAACATGCACTTATATTGAAATATATTTCATATTTTGATCTATAAGAAAATAACCTTCTGCAAAAATAATATCATTTTTGTTGGGCGAAAAGTCATGCAATTACTTCTCCCGCCGTGGGTGGGTCTCATGAAGGACACATTTCTCAATGGTAGGTCTCGCCCATAGATGAAAAATCCCTGGATGTTTCTTTCATGGTCTGGCTCCAAACTGGTGTGTCAAAATCTAACAGACTAAAAACACCAAGTTCTTTCTTGTGTAACTTTACATTATTTAGGCTATTGAGAGCATATACTTAAAGCGGCAACGGCTCGTTCGCCTCGTTCGTTCGCTCGAGTTGGAATAGAGTGGATTTGTGGGTATACTCTTTGGTGGATTTAGTCAGTAAAAGTGTTACACTTCATCTCGCTCACACGAACACACAGAGAAGGCGAAGAAAAAGGATGATTTTTCCCCCTATAAAAAAAAACTCTCAGTCGATGTAAATTTGAAATCAACTAAATGAAATAAAAGCATTTCCAAACATGTACTAAGTAATATGATTTAGTTGCGTACATTTCTTTGGAAACAAACCTATAAATAGCTGGATCTGAATTGTTTACTCAGATTTTATTATTTCTTATATTGATTCAGATGGTCCCATAATATAAATAATCAAATATTGGATAATATATTCAAAATCATTGTGTACCTACCTAACAACATATTTTTCCTGAACGTAAGCTAGTATAGTAGGTACCATTGAATAACGAAACATATCAAGATAAGTATAATATTTTACGCGCCTCGTTTGATTATTAGATGCATCGAAGAAAATCTAAAACTTTAATAGACAAACAAAAGCAGAATATCGACTGCTAAGTATAAAAGTATATATGACTGCACGGTTGGTGCGGTGGCTGTCGCGCAACGTGTCGCGGGTTCGATTCCCGCACGGAACAACACTTTGTGAGATCCACAAATTGTTTTTTCGGGTCTGGGTGTCATGTGTATGTGTCCCACAACACAGGAGAAAATCCTAAAGTAGGGCAACGTCTTTTTTTAAAGAGAAATAGAGAAAGAAAAAAATTACTAGTAGTCTCATAAAGTCAAAAAAAATAATTATTTCGAGGACACATGCAATGTGTGTTCAGCCTTACTTTAGAACATACGTAAACACATATTTATCAAAATAGCTGGCTACTACGGACACAGAGTGATCCCTTAACAAAAGTTATTATTGCAGAGGTTAGTGACAAACAATTTAACACTTGCGTACCAATTAGTGTAACAATCGTCTAAATCGGCGTAAATCTATTTGAACAATTGTTTATTGTTTTAGTTCGGTACATAGATTTCATATATAATACGAATGGAACTGGGAAGAGATTAGTGTTTTACTGAACTCGAGTAAAGCTAGATCAAGAGTTGAAAAGCAAAAAGTAATTGAGACAAAATGAAGACCGCTACAATTTGTCTTGTTGTCGCCGCAGTATTTGTATATGTGGTAAAGAAATATTTTAGCACATATTTTGAATCCCGGCAATTTCGCCAAAGTCGTGAACTAATTGATTTTAAACTAATTTTAGAGCGCTAAGCCTCAACAGCCCCCGGCTGCGCTAGCAGGCCAACAGACGGCAGGACAAGTGGCAGGACAGGTAGGACAGGCAGAACAGGCTGGACAGAAGAATCTAGCTGGACTGGGTAAGTAAGGAAATCCTAAAAGTTTTACCTATCTTCGACCGAAATTACTTCAAGAGGAACACTCATAAATTATAACACTTTTTGTACTTGCATCTTTATGTCAACTAGCATAGCCCATGTGTTAATCCCGGGTATTACCTATCTAAATACCAAATTTTAACCAAATCCGTGCATCCGTTTTTGTGTAAAAGAACAACAAACATACATCCATATATTCTCACAAACTTGCACATTTATTATAGTAGGATAGTAGAATTTACCAAATTTCTGACCCGTCTATTCAATAAGCAACCATAATAATTTTATTTTTTGTTGTATCACGGTTTTATTAGTACCTACCTACATGCTTTTTTTACTTAGTGCTCCTACGAAAGGCGTTTAATAAATTAAGTTAACTTTGTATCCGTACCACGTAAGTTTTAGGAACGGGACAAACGCACGCGTTAAGGAATTTGAATGGATTTTGTACAGTGGTAAATTGGCTAACTTATATTCAACGGGTTACCCTTGAGTTATTTTATGTTGCAATAGAAACATTTTCAAACTTAATTAGATATGCGTCAACAAAGAAAAAATATTGAGTTATTTTTACAAATACCTATCTTTTAAGAAGTCTTCAGCGTATACATTATGGGCAATTAAAGACGTTCGTTCGGTCAAACTAATCTTTTAAGGTGTCATTTGGGAAAAACAAACACATGTGTAGACTACTTTTGACAGTTCGACATTTGACATAGTACCTAAGTTACTAGACAGGAAGAAATTTCTTCTGATGGCTACAAAATCGAAAATGTTCAGACATCTTGTGATCAAAATGGTCACAAGATGTCTAAAACCTTACATTTACGTTACCTTACCACTACTGATAGCTATAATACATAGAAGAAGTTCAATATCATCAAATTACAACATAGCTGTTGTTGTGGTGTTACAGGTGGAGCCCCATCTGCTGCTCCTGCTAACTCTGCTACTGGCAACCCCGCTGGTACAGGTGCCCCTGGTGGTATCCCTAGCGGTGTTCCTAGCGGTGCTCCTGGCGGTGCCCCTACCGGTGTCCCAAGCGGTGCCCCAAGCGGTGTCCCTAGCGGTGCCCCTGCCGGCGCCCCTAGCGGTGCCCCTGCCGGCGTCCCTAGCGGTGCTCCTGCCGGCGCCCCTAGCGGTGCCCCTAACACTGCGCTTCCTGCTTGGACAGGAGTCAACCCTGGAACTAACCCTTCTGCACTAGGCGGTAAACACATTTGAATCAAAATAATTATTTTATATATATTAATGAAAATGAATTTATTTATTCTAAGTATGCTTAATTTAGTCAATAGTGAATGTTTAGTAAATGTACGCGATTGGTCTATTTCAGGTTTAGCGAATCCATCTTCAAACCAACAAAACTGTGAGTACGTATAATATTATCGATCTAACAAATTCCGATACATTTCCACGTAACTAGATTTGTAACTGCATATTACTAAACAGGCATTATCATTCCCAAAGGGTTTTTTGATGGGGCAAAATCATCCAATAACTTCTATCATACTGGGTAGGGCAAGAGAGTGTCAGACACTTGACTCATGACTAAAAACCTCCCAGTTCCTTATCCAGCTCAGGACCAAGGTACATTTACGCTCACAGTCGCAACCCTGGCTAATACGGGTGATTTTCGAAGGTCTCATAACAGCATGGTCAACTTAGAGTTTTATAAACTTACAAAACAGTAACAAAAACACACTACCTACAACTAGAAGGTAATTAAATATTTGAATTTATTAAATCTCGATTATATTATACATAGATTTCATAACACACTATTAAAGTACGGCCGACGTATTTTGGCGATTTTAACTTCGTCTGAAGTTAGCCGTTTATCTGCGCAATGGATCTTTTAGGAACAAAATGGTGTGCTGCGCAGCTTATCGGCTAACTTCAGACTCGCAAAGATACGTTGGCGGTATTGTTCTTGGAGAAACACTGCCTACATTAACAAGGGTTCATTTGGTGGATTCGCCTACAATAGTTTTATGTTTTCATTGATTTTTTGGGATTTTGTTACAGCAAACATCATCACCGAGGCCATGAAGGAAGGAAAGGCCATCATGGATTTATTCACACAATCGTTCATTCCGGGTAAGTGGAAACCCAAGATGACTAATAGGTGCGCAATTCGTAAAATTAGCCCCGGATGTTACAAATTCAAAAAATCGCTGGGTTTACCCTTTTCAAATACGTAGTTGAAAGAAAAATTTGTGGTTTCATTTAGAGATATTGTAAAACAATCACCACATTGGGTGTGTTTTGGTTCGAAAGCGGGGGTATGTACCTAAACGTTGACGGCAGTTTTTAAAAACTTCACAATATAAAAATCGTTTTTGATCTAATGTTAGACGCAGTATTCATTGAGTTTCCAACTTTTCTTTTTGGAATAAAGTTAAAAATGGGTTACGCAAAAGATTTTATCGTGGCTTTTTGGTGTGGTTACACGTCCGCTTTCTTTTTATGCTCAAAATTTAAAAATATTTACGACTTTAAAATAATTTATATTTTCTAGGTTTCCGGGGATGAGGCAATTCTTCCATCGGAAAGTCCCCGTGCAATAAATTTACAACTGAACAGGATTTGCAACACTGAATGATAATGTTTTACCGATTGTAGTATTTCTTAGGTCACTTAGATTTTAGACAATAAATATTTTAAAACATGTTCACTGTTTTTCCTTTTTTAAGTTGCTCTTCAGATTGATGTTGATGACGTTATTTTAGCTATTTTTTTGTTGTTTATCACATAAAAAACCCTTCTACATCGCACATTCTTCAATCTCATTCTTTCCAACACACAGGCTAACTATAACGTACTACATACGTAGTACTTCTCAACTTAAAATCGCATCTTAACTTCCTCACAGGAAAGGAAATCTAATCTTATCTTCTTATATATAAAAATGGATCGCAAAATGTGTTGTAAGCGCATAACTCAACAACGCCTGGACCAATTTTGCTAATTCTTTTTTTGTTGTGTTTGTTATTGTCAGGAGAAGGTTCTTATCAAAGAAAATATTAGAAAAGTAGAGGGGAAGATTAGGAAAAAGTAACCCTTTAATAGCGAGATAGTTGGAACCGTGCGAAGCGGGGGCGGGCCGCTAGTCCAAAATAAAATAAAATAAAAAATCATTTAACAGCAATTTATTGTAGCAATTACATATGGTAATTTAACAATTATTTGTACGCACATTTTCAATTATAATACTTATGACCTAATGTGGCTAAGCTATCTACACTAATTTGTGTCGTTTCGTTTCTCTTATAAAATACCTTTAAAAAGCTCATAATAAATAAAGAATAAAGACCAAACCTGCTAACAGTTAGTCAATATATTGATTTAATCCATTAAAATTCAATACATAATATGTCTATAATAAACAAAAAATATTATCACAAAATACTATTGATTGAAAACTACATACATACATAAATAACCATCAACTTTAAATTCACAGAATAAAATAAAATGTTTATCAAATTGCTAAGGCAAAAATTGGACGATTTTTGTTACTTAACAAAATATATTCAGTATACATAATAATATATATATATATATATATGATATCATTTCTTAGTTATGAAGATACTTCAATGCAATCTAACTATAGTAATAACAGAAAGCCTGGAGCGAGTTATTATTACGCTGCGACGGAATTGTTACCGCGTCTAGCTCTTTGATTGGTTAGTTAGTTTGGAGCAGACCAATCAAAACGCCGAGCGTCATAAGCGTGTCGATCGTAGTCGCCGAACGTCATAAGCGTGTCGATCGTAGTCGCCGAACGTCGTGAACGTAAACCAAACTCGGTCAAGGACTACAAAAAGCGCAAGGGACATTGTTTCTTATTATAATATACACTAATAAGGAACTTCCTTTTATTTATAGGCAAAGTTTCGAGAAAATCAATGAACAAACTTTGGTTTTGTTCATCAATGGGCTGTTGTTAATGGACCGTATTTTGATTTTAGAGCCTTCACGCCCCTTATCGTATTATAAACTGCAGGATACTTATATTTTACCATCTATAATAAACAACTTCCTGGCTGACTATGGAAAAAATCTAATTTAAGACATTGACTAAAATATCATTTTATACTAATTTTTATTTCATTTAGTATAAACCATAAGATATCATACCAAATAGTATACAAAATTTTACGCGAAAAGCTGAACATATTCTATGCATACCTAGATAATAGCCATGTCTTTCTGGAAGATACGTTTCTGGAATTACCCAGAAGACACGATACACGACAAATAACTGAACTATAATTTTATAGCCTTTTTTGAAGGTTGGGCTGGGGAGGGCAGATTATCAAATTACTTCTGTCACCCTGGTTGGGACGAGAGGGATTATTGTAATCTTACTGACTGAGAGGAATTGTTGTAATTTTACTGTAAAAATTTCGACCACTCCCCCCTCCCTTTCGTCTGCTCCAGGCTTGGGCCGCGGTACATTATTAAGCTTAACCTGTGGGTTAAGCAACCCAGATCTGACCTAGATATTCGCCCTCATAAATAAGAACCGAGCGGTTCATGAGGCGTCCTCATAAGCTTCGAAACCTGGCATGTACCAATGTACCATTTTCAAGTTAAAGTTTATTTAGGCACCACTAAAAATAGTGAAGGAAAACAGCGTCAGGAAACATGAACTTAAAATTCTAAGTTTAGTGATGTTCAAAGTCTCTTCGTGTGAGAGAGGTCTTTGCTTAGCAATGGGCACTTAAAGGTGGTTGTTGTGATGTTGACATAACGTTTACTTTAATTTTGTTCACAATGGCGAAGTCAGCATAGATTTGAGTTAGTAGAGCTACATAATAATGCATAACTATGTAAACACAATTACTTATATAAGGACACCTTTCCTATCACCTCGCATGAAATGTGAGTTGACGTTAGAAGTTGAAGCACTGCTTATTTTCACGTCTTGCGGTCTATCGCTGGAGCCACGCTTATCTTTTGACATCTGAGCCACCTAGTGGGAGAAAAGAAATTGTTAATTGTGTTTTTGAGTAATCTTTAGGTTTTTGTTTCATTTAAACTCTTTTTCTAAGAAGTAACGGCAAGATCGGTTAGTACTTTGAATAAAAAATTACATAAATAAGAACGTTCCCATAATTATATTCGAAAATTATTCACGGCATTGAAATAATTATATACTGAACTTTGTAATTATTATAAAACATTAGGTACACAAACATTTCCATAAGGATTTTTCCACAAAAATAGAATAAGTAAGTACTACTATTTAAAACTGAATATTTACACGCACCATTATTAACATATGAATAACATTTGTTTCAGAGAAAAAATACCAAATGCAAATGTTCTTTCTACTTTACTACCATGTAAATAAGGTTGATTTTAAAACTTCACACACTAAATATAGCATTGTAGATTATGTAGCAAGGTAAACTTAACTTTGCACATATGACGTTAAAGCTAATTTTCCATTGTCGTTAAATAGACTACTTACAGCATCATCGATAGCTTTGAATTGCCAGTTCCAGTGTACCCGGTAAAGGAACGGTCTGTGATCGAAACGGTTGTCATCAGGGCTATATGTTTCTGCGTGATACGAAGGAGTCAAAACAGTCATCTTGTGACGGTTGATCGCGTAACAACGGAAGAAGTGCTTCACTTTTTCTGCAACCTGGAAATTTAATATTACAGTTAGTAAAACATGACGTTATAATAAATTAGGTTTAAGAAATCTATATCTATACTAAAGTAACTGCGAAATAAATGCGAAAGTAACTGTGTCTGTCAGTCGGTCTGTCTTTTCTTCACGCCTAAACTACTGAACCGATTTCTGTGAAATTTGGTACAGACTTAGTTTGGAACTCGATATAGGGTATATTTTATACTATTCTAATGTCACTATTCCACGCGAACGGAGTCTCGGGCAAAAGCTAGTAAATAGAAATGGAGACAGGATAATTAAAGGTACAGTTAATAGGTTAGGTAAACGAGAGAAGAAACTACTGTATATGACTACATTAGTGAGATTATACTCTATCCTCAATAAAAATCAAAATCTTCTTCAATCATTCATCAACTATTTCCAAAATACGACAATTAATTTATAATTATCTAAAATATACTTTATACACTATGATTTAAAGTACATTTTAAAACTAAAATGTATTGAATAAAAGTATTTTGGCGCAAAATCTCACCTCCTGCGGCGTACATTTATCGCTCCACGTATGCACTAGTTTATGGAACATGCTGTATGGTCCACAATGTTGGGTTTTCCTCAATCTCCCGAACTCTGAGAGTTCTGCATAAGTCATGCCCATGTCTTGTTCGTCTGTTTGTGTGATCTGACCATCCGTTAGAGGTTCAAGCTCTGCTGTAGGTGGCGCTTGTAAGATCTCCGAGAGCGATGGCAAGAAGAATCTGTTGACATTTGTAGGATTACTATACTCATATACCTTCACGAAAACCTCTTACTTAAATCATATTTAAATTGTTATCTGTAAGGAGACTCAATTATGTAAAACCTTCAGAAATATTTATTTATTACGTTAATTGCTAAATAAATGAAATTCCATTATATTGCTCTCATATACAAATTCTCCCAGTTACAGAATTCAGATGTCCTATTGAGACGGAGAAAAAAATTAAATTCAAAGAAAACAAACCATGTATGCAAAAATTATATTAGATTTATCGAACAAAAAGCTTGTATTAAGAAACAGACTAAAAACAATCTTATTCTCACCTATTTTTAGCATACTGTAAGAAAGACTTGAGATCAGTCTTCGATATACCACCAATAGGGTTGACATCGGCACTGGAGCAGTCGTACTTGGTCATATATCCTCGCAAGGCTTCGTCCACGTTTGAGGAACCTAGCACCAATAGGCCACCAGGTCTACCGCGCACCCAGAGCATCAGTTGCGCAAACAGGTAGGATAAAACCATGCGCAGACGAGCCTGTGGAAAAGGAATTGATTTATTGTTTTAGGTTCCACTAAGTAATAATAATAATATTTTTTTGTGTAAACCAGTTAAAATATATTGATATTAAATAAACAAAATAAGTAACTTATTGTACAGCATTATATTATAATCTGTAGCATGTTGAAGCTATTTTTTAAGTATAAACAATGGCGCTGCTATCTGTCGCTGGAGTGATGATACCTACCATTATTATAATTACCAAAAACAAAAATACATAGTTATACGCGTAAATATGTGACGCGCACGTACGTCATAGGTCGGCAAACGAGCAGAAGACCTAGAGGTAAGAAATCAGCACCGCTCATAATTACTGGCAATGCCAAAGGAGTTACTATAACTGCGTTGCCGTGCTGCTTGTGGGTTACTAGGAGTTTAAGTATTGGGGATTTGAGGGTTAACAATGGGGAGGGGCAAAGGATTGGGCCTTCAGTTACCTTATTCACCCAAACCCAACGTCAGTGTTGCATCACCCCGGTTTTCTGTTAGGCCGTTATATCAAACCGGTATGTAGTAATGATAGAGAAACCAGAAAAAGGATATTAAACCTATTTATAGATGCTAATCGATATTAATAAAGTAACTTACCTGTATATTTTGTAAAGCTAAGTTCTGCCTCGGGCAACCGCCCTTCGTTCTAAACTTTGGTACGAAGCCAGTAGCGGTAGTAAATATACCAATAACTGCGCTCACGGCTGCGTCGATCACTATCGGAAAGTGATAGCTACCAATCTCGCTGGCCAACTGAAAAATAAAATATAATTTACTAAAACGTTATAACATGGTAAATAATATAAGTAACGGTGGTGGTACGTCGTGATGACCCGGAGTTTAAGGCTTCCACTTTTAAGGTTCGAAATTTGGAAAGTACCAATGTGACCTTTTTCTAAGTTGTATGTACTTCTTATGTGTATTCAAAACACTGACAAAGTATGAAGAAAAAAATCGTGAGAAAACGAAAAGAAATTGCTCATCTACTTTGGTCGAGCTTGGTGATTAATGTTCAAACTTTCTCCGTGTGAGAGAAGAGGACTTTACTTTTACACATAGGCTGATAATGTGTGTGTGGGATACAATACCAGGTTCAGCGATAAATATTTCACCGATTGATTGCGATAAAGTTAACGACGATTGTAATGAGATCCACAAGGCATCGCAGTTAACCTAACGAGGTCGAAATAGCGAAAAATGTTCTTCATTCTAAGCATTTGGATTTCAACCGCCACGAGCACTATGTGCGCAGACCGTTACACTTAACATCAAGCAGCCAACAGGTTATTTAATTATAGGCCCCTAACGTGGCTCGTATTTCTGACTATATGACTGTATGACTACACGGTTGGCGCGGTGGCTGGGCAATTGGCTGCCGCGCAACATGTCGCGGGTTCGATTCCCGCACGGAACAACTCTTTGTGTGATCCGCAGATTGTGGTTCCGGTTCCGGTGTGATTTGCATGTGAAATTGTATGTTTGTAAACGCACCCACGACACAGAAAAAAAACGTAATATGGGGCAATGTTTAAAAAAAATCTAGGTACTATTTTGGGTATATTATTTTAAGACATAGACTAATATTATTAATTATGAACCTTACCTGTGAAGCTCTCTGTTTAGTTTCCTGGCTAGAATTCTCTGAAGCCATATAACACGTCACTAGTAACCGATTACACAGCTCCATCGGGTCAGACGGCGTGTAGTCTGACTGACAAAGGATTTTCCGAACATCGTACAACACTTGGCTTTCTGAAATCAGATGTTTAAACATCGATATCGTAAACATTCCAACATTTAACAACTTGTTTACAGACAAAAAATAATTAGATCTCGGTTCCAATTTTCATCCAATTAAATAGTAAGTTAGTTTAATATGATAAATATAACATAAAAATTAATCTAAAAATGTGTTGGTAAGCGCAAAACTCAACAACGCCTGGACCAATGTTGGCAATTTTGTTGTATTTATTATTTGAGGAGAAGTTTCTTATCAAAGAAAATATTTAAAAAGTACAGGGGGAAATTGGGAAAAAGGGACCGTTTCCTTTTAGCGAGATAGTTGGGACCGTGCGTAGCGAGGGTGGGCCACTAGTGGTTAATAAAAACCATCCACTAAAGAAAGAATAACAAAACAACACGACGTTTATTTCTTAAAAAGATCTTACCTCCTTTCTGAATAGCGTCGCAAATTTGTGTGCACATTGAAAACACTATGCAAGCAGTACTAGTAGAATCTACACCACCACTCAATGGTAGAAAGAATCCTCCCTGGCCCGACCTTCTTAGATAATCCCATAGCCAACAAGCCGGACCTGGAATAAAGTCAAATTAAATGTGGACTATTATGAAATAACATTTTTGTTATAAACTGGTATAAATAATTCATACATTTTGTGATAAATCCTGTCGTTAGCCAAGCAATAATACTGCCCATGACTTTAAGCCCCTAGCGCTGTTTGAAACTAATCGAGCTATCTCGTCAAACATTAACGTAAGTCGTAACAAGTAAATCTCACAAAGAGTCAGAATGCAAAAAGAATGTTGTCGTTAAGTAATTTTAATTCAAACCCCATCAATCTAAAATATTTTCAAACATGAATTACTTCTATAGATACTAAATTGTATTTTAGATGATAATAATAGTATGCAATTGCATGCTGTGTTATACTGTGACTGAAGAAACCCAATATTTAAAAAAAAATCTTAATATTGCTGTGCTGTGTATCGATGTTGGAGTTCCCAACTGAATGAAAATAAAATACTTTACATACTAACCTAGTTCAATTTCCTCTTCTGGCGTTAAATACTGCCACTGTATAGGCGGGCTAGTTGTAAGATACACGTCTTCATCATCCGATAGGGCGAAGTCAACTGTGATGCGAGGAAATGGCGGGTTGGAGGCTGCTAAATGAGATCGAGAACGGATCTGTGTCCGGTAGGAACGAATGTCTTCAAGATCGATCGTTGCTGTTACTACTTCCTACAAAAGAGGTTTAATAGGTTAATAAAGAAGTTTTTAGTGAATATTTTATTTTGTAAGATATAACAGGATATACAGGGTGTAAAAAGACACTTAACGAAGCCGTTAACTACGCATACTGCATATCTAACTAATTAGCTTTACGCTAAAATTATCACTGGGAAACGACTTTTATTTTTAGGTATCAAAAAAAATAATAATTTTATTGCGCGCAATGTAAAGCAAACGGGCTTCGTGTCATTGTGTGCGAAGGTTCACAGCTTAGCATTAAAACGCTGTTTATCACAGCGTACGTAGGTCGACGTTTTACTTCGCAACAACAAAACAATTCTGTAAAATAAAAATCCTACTGAGATGCACGATGTTTTTTGTGCGGGTCTGCATTTATTTATTACGTACATTACTGTTCGTAACTTCAAATGCGTAATTTATTTAGAAAAATCGAAAATTCAGGTAATGTTTGTTTGGAAAAAAGTTTTGTAATAATACTTAGAATTCGAATGCGCAAAGAAAAAAAGTTAAAAATGCATCTTTGACCTTCAATATCTCGAGAACGCGTGGAGTCCCAGCTATGGTGTTAAAGAAAAAAATGATCTAAATAATGGGTAGAATACGTGGCTTTCGGCTTTGTAAAGCCTGTATTTTGGAATGGGCAAGATTTCTAACAAATATGGTATCTACTTAATTCTGATAACATTTTTATCACGAAGGATTATAAGCTGTTTTTATTCAATAAATTCACCCGCGGTTCGGCTCCATTTGAGTTCCGCTCATAGCGTGATATTTTATAATCTATAAAACTCAGAAACATAGTAGATATCTATCAGAGAAAGAATTTTGGAAATCACTCCAGCTCTTCCAAAGATTATTTAAGTAAGTAAGTTTGTATGCAGCATACAAACTTACAAATTACAAATTTTAGCTCTCTATAATATTAGTATAGATATAGATGATAAGATACACAAATATACTGTCTACAGTAAATTAAAAAAAGAGGAAATGACTAAAGTTAAATAAGTACGCTTCATACAGTCTAATGAAAATACTTACCACATCATGCAGAGCAAACTGCATCCCTCTACTAACAATCTCCCCATTAACAGCCACGCAGGAGCAACCGTTGAAATAAATCCTCTGGCCATCACAACCTCTCAAATTGCTGAACAAATACGCGCCCCCACTCTTGAAGGTAGCACTTTTGACTAGATCCACTGTGACGTAGGCCTTGCGCAGTTCCATATAACTTCCCGAACCATTCGCTATTATCTCCACCCCGTCCAAACCGAGAGGAATATGGCGACTGGAATGCGAATTTTAAGACCTTTACTTATATTTTGTATACAGATATATTTTCTTTTCAATACTCAATACTCAATTCTTTATTGCCTTCTATAGTGTACATTAGGTCTTATAAATAATATTTAAAGAAATCCAGAAATCAATTTATCCGTCGATAATAATATCAAAAATAATCTGCAACTTCCAGCGATAAACGGAACAGAAAAGTTAAGTAGCAGATACGAGAATACTTTATTTTTGTTCAAGAGGAACGCTTGCCATGTCAAAACTAATTCAGTCGAAAATGTATTACTTAAACAAATAGAATGCTAATATATAAAATACTAGAGTTACTTTTTGCTTACCTCTGCGGATTCCACAACTCTTCACAAATTTCAAAACCTATACACGTATCTTTAGTTGCGATGACAGCATCACCAATGGGCACCGTCGATTGGTTCGTTATCGCCGATATCATCCTAGGTAAATAGTATTCTTCAGTCTGTCGTTCCTTTGTGAACAATTACAAATACAATTTAGCTCTTCTAAATACAATATAAAGCCAGTAAGCATACGCATTTAAATATCAACTTTATTTACAAAGAATCTAAGTTAAAAATAGCAAAGAATGGCTTAGCTAGTTTTTGAAAACGACTACTTACTTTGGTCCAAGGCGAAAACCACCTAGATTCCCTATAATTTCCATCTTCACATAATAACATCTTTGGTCTGATAAGTAGAATCTTTTTATTCAAGAACGCCACTCGGCAATTGTATAGTACATTTCTGTGTTGAACTGGCATACCGACATCGATCAACATGTCTTTACATGTCGCAGATTTGAGGAGCTCTGCGAGTACTTGCCAACTGTGGAGATATGTGTCTGGCTCGTAGAAATGGTCCTCGCAACTGTAACCACTGTAAACACACACATATTACAAGTATAACACTCACACATATAATAATTATTTGATTGATTCTATCAAAATAATCAAAACATGATGTCTATCAATAATAGTTCGATGTGACTTGAAACTAGTTGAGCCTTCTACGAAAGGATTATAGGTGAATAAGGGATGATTTTTCATTGGTTAGATAAAAGGTATCTGAGGAATAATTATTATGCTGTCGCGTCAGAATGTTTCTATAAGACAGTGACAGCAACAATTTTATTCGTCAGATAACAATTATCTGACTATTGAAAAATCTGCCCTGAGTAATATTATTTGAATAATTTTGTATGTTTCACGATAGTTCTTAGACCATAGTAATTGATATTCAACTTTGTTACAGAAAAATAAGGGTTTAATATGTTCGATATGTCTTATAAATTAGGAAAATAGATAATGCTAAATATAAACTCTATTAATTGATTCATAAGTACCATATTTCTAACTCAGGTCCAGTGCGGTACAAGGCTCCCATTTCCTTAGCCTCCTGTATGGATTGTAGAATCCTATTCATATTCCCCTCGAAGTCCAGCGCCCATTGGTTCAGCGTCGTCACCGCTACCGTCACTTTTCGACCCATCGCTGCAGTTTACTTACTTTTCCTTTAAACAGAAGAAAATATCACCTTATTTATATTATGTATAATAAATTAGTATTTGACCATTTTTATTGATTCGCCCGCATATGAATTACTTTCTACACTCGCGCGGCTTCATCGGTTGCTCGGACTATAGCCTTCCTCGGTAAATGGACTAACACAAGAATAATTGTTCTATTCGAACCAGTAGTTCCTGAGACTAGCGCGGTCAAACAAACAAACTCTACAGCTATAATATTAGTATAGAATATAATATGTATATGTACATATATGTAGGTCAACAAAATTTCCCACGTACTACTTCATTAAAAACTTTGATATTCACTTTTACAAATTGGTAGACGTACACTCAAAAAACTGTTGAAAACACGTAACTACAAATAAATGACAATTTCGATTATACACTACTATAGTATTACTAGAATACTATTACGAGTACTTAGTGTTTAACTTCTGCAAAGTCTAGACTTAACTTGGTTGTGTTATTACATTTGTAGTTAAACTCAAACATATCAATCAAAGTTGAAAGCACACACGCTCGAAATTCTTTTCTAACTTTTTGACTACATTATAATTGTCTTAATGCTCCAAACTTAGTACACTATAAGGAAAGAAAAACTGTCTTGAAATGTTCTAGTTATAATGCCGTCAAGGGTTACTTTTGACGGTTTCTTTTACCTTTTTTTTGTCAGGGGAAAATCATCAAATAACTTCTCCCGCCCAGGGTAAGGCGAGAGAGAGTGTCAGACTCTTCTGACTAAAAACCCCCTGTTCCTTCTCCTGCTTTAGGTGCCTCATTGCGCTTGCCCCGCAACCCCGGTTGAACATCAACCCTGTAGCGCCCTGTCTGTGGTACAGTTTCGTATACCTAAAATACATTTAGGCCACAACAACCAAGAAGCTAATATTACCTACAAAAGGTAACCTAAAGACTAAGATCTTTTCTATTATTTGTATGAGATTAAGAAAACCGATATTTGCACAACTCATACTGAATGAAAATGATTGATTTCGTCATACGAAAAGTGAATGAAACTTGATCAGGATGATTTTGAATACTTAGATTGGTTCAAACAATCAATTACGAGTATCACGGTGCTGATCTCAGATTTATGAAAAACCTATAAGTACTAAACTACTAGCACGATTCATTTAACTATCTGCGATAAAGTTAATCCTTAGCCTGCATGTACTTCGTTGCGTTCATGTAAAATACTTTGATTATGAATTACATTTCTTTTCTTTATAGTTCAAACATTAACATTACTCCAAAAATACCGAAGCAATATACGTGATTTACTATTGTTTTTATTAAACCTCGTAGATGTCACAAATTCTATGAATATTCACGAAACATAAAGTCGAAGCCGACGGGCGATTGATGAATGACAAGAGACAATAAGATAGTCCGTCTAGAAGGCAATCGATCCGCGCCAGGCAGTGCCAAGGCCCGGCCAATCACCCCGCTACCCTTACAAGCCACATAGTTCACACATCTTATATAGTCTACTCACTGTAATTGAAAAACGTAATTGATTACATGAACTACAATATTAATGAAATTTTCTGAACTAATGTAAAGATTAAATCAATTTGTCACGCAATTTTACCTAGAACCGAGCTTGAATCCTTCGTTAAAAAGGGCTCATATTACACAAAATGGCTTTCTAATTTATACAAACTTTTTAGTTATCTTGCATGTTCGTTTGTTTTTATTGTTCCCACGAGTTTTTTAGTTTTGATGTTTTATGTCTGAAGTTATAAACGCCGCGCCATAGTAATGCTACCAAGATAACAAAGAAAAATACTTTATGGCGCCTAAAATATTCCATATAAGTTGATATCATAAAATAATTCGTATTGTTGGTACCATTAGGTACCTACATTCCTAATTTCCGAAGAATGTATTTAGCTGTCGGAATTTCTTGCGTATTTCATATTTATAACGCATATTCAATTCAAATAGCTTAAGTGTGTGTGTTTTTGAATAGAGTTCATAGCGTGAGTTCATGGCTAATTTTACTTTCAGTGCTGAAGTTGATAACAATTTTCAATAATACTGTACAAATACCTTCGATAACTGAAATTTGTAATGATGATGTTCTACATACATTAACTAGAAAGTCAAAACTACTGCTGACAATTGATACCTTCTTATTACCAATTCTGAGGTAATACTTAAAATACCGACCTGCCACATATAATAACTTACTCAATATACATATCTCTACTAACGTAGATACTTAATCCTATTACGTAAGAATTTTCGACCCTCCAATACAAAATTTTCAGAACCTGTACTACACGTAACAATTAAAAGTATTGCATGTAGCGTTAAAAAACATTACATTACATCATATGAATCCAATGAAAGCATTATTAAAAGAAGCTATTTTATCATACATCTGAAACTAAAGAGGCCAAGCATTTTAGGCTTCTACTAAAATTTAAAAAAAATACATAAATAATCTGCAGATAATCTAATAACATAGGTAAATGTAGTCTTTAAAAGATAAATCTTACCAACGGAATCTGCCTATATTGGCTTCAAGCAGTATGATCGATTTTACTTACCAAGTAACCATAGCAACTCGGTGTACAACTTTATAGGAATACGCATATCTTTATGTTCTATTCTAGTAGTTTAGAAACTCTTCATAAAATGTTAATTATGTGGAATGCATTCCTGATTGTAAATGAGAACTTTTAGATCATTTTTATGCTCAGTACTGGTTTGATAATAATAGAATGTCATCACCGAATTATTATTGGAGCTAAGCCGAACAACATGATTATAGTAAAAACAGTAAACAGTTTCGTAAACATTAAGACAAGATATAATAATAGTGACTCTATTCAATACTTAGTTTGTAATAGAGCTCAAAATAGCGTAAGTGGTACAACTCAATTTCTGTTAACGGATCGGCGACGAAACTTTACCATTTCGTTAGTCCCTTAACTTTCCTACTTATCAATAAAGAAAAATTTCTTTACATCGAAATAAAAGCCATTTAATAAATGTCTGCCGTTTGCTATTTTTGTCTTTAACGATTTATGTAAATTGTTTAGATTCATACTTTATTGGATTTTCAATATAATACGTCTCGACGTTAAAATACCGAACATTATTACGGACCGTGCCATTGACTTTTCAAATATTGCTTTCTCCGAAAAACGAAAAAGAATAGGCAAAAGTCAGACGACAGAACTGTAATAAATATTATTGCCTAATACTGACGACCACGCTACCGTACCTACCCTACGGTAAATGCAGCGATTAAACCTGGCAATACAAAATATTTACCATGAAACATCTATTATGATAAATTTCAAACAATATTTTCTTTTTCAAGCTTTTATTTCTACGCGTTGAAAATAATGTAGAGATATTTCACTCTAATCAACAAACTAAAGACACGCTTTATGAGGAGAAATGAGCGTACATCTGCCCTGTACTGTTGGGCCCCATCTGTGGCAATATTTTGGCTCTTTGAGGCACACTCGAATCTGGTTCTGGTCGGGCAGCGAGAAGCCCTCGCTTGCCATCCCCAAATCTGCACTTTCGGTGGCCGGAGATCGCCCCGACACCCGGAGTACACCCGGAAGATAACCAACCACCATCTCGATGGTACTATTATATTGGAACGTCATCCAATCTAATGTAATTCCCAAATTTCAATAGTGTATTAAACAAGTAATGTTAAGTCACTGAAAAAATCATAATACTGGTGGCATTATGTTGGGATATACTAAACTACATTTTTCTATTATCTTACAATTAATTTTACTATTATCAGTGGCGTGATCATTATATGTATAGAAAATTGGTACCCATGCTATGAATTCTATCGAAGTCATATCGATTGATTCTTTGAAGGGGTTTCCACACTGTAGACTATACACGCTTTGCATACCGAATATCACAACATGTCAGTATCCTCACACTGTTGTTCATTCCTTGGATTTTGTGAATGTGTGCGGTATTTATCAAACACTACAAAAGATATAACGCTGTAATTATCCAAATTACCAATGCTTCATTCAAAGTTTTACCTATGAACCGACTGCTAATTGAATACGACAATCAGAATGATTTTCATACTACGTCCAAATTCTATAATATTACCATCAATTTAAAAAGACAATGTCCAAATTGGCCATGTGCAATAAAGATTACTTATCTTCATTTTCCGATGTTCTTGGCTCCATGGCCAACACTGAAGTAACGCAGAGCAATGTCCTTTACTACTTTGTTTGTATACAGTTTAAGTCATGTGGTTAGTATGCGTACGTACGTTCCCGCGCAAGTTACGTTAACGACACAATAATTACTTTATTGCAAACACATAGCTATAGCTAATAGGTAACAGGGCAACATTTTCTTGAGCACATGTATTAGAACTACCAAACAGCTTGGAGGCTCCTGTTCCAAGTTAAGTACATAGGAATAAATATAGAGTAATATAGATGGTTTACATAAAAACGCCAGTGATAAAAGAAAGATTGCTATAACAAAAACCTAAACAAACCGAAAAGACTAAAAATAAATAGACAATTTTAAATGAATCACATTTTACTCGGAATCTGCTACGTGTGCTAATAGTTCACCATATGAAGACTTCAAAGGAAAATCAAAGCATTCGGAAGTCTACAAGGACGTTCAAGTTTACAGCCAGTTACGAAGTTTTCCACATAACCGCCACAAGCTACCGCATGCTTCGTAGAAGTGCAGTCACCTTTTAAGCCCTTAGCGGATTCATTATCACAGGTAATCAAGGTGACTAATCTGTGAACTAATCTGTTAAGTGTATTAAGTTTTGCGAAACAAAAATCCACGTGCAGACAAAGATGACAACCCCTTATGTATGATTTACTATAACACCAACCGTCGTGCATAGTATGGATATTTGATAGTAATGCACAGTTTTAAACAGCTGAAACCATACCTATGTAACCACAGGCAGACTAGTCTAGACCGAGGTGCCGACTGGAATGTATAACAGCTAAGCACCCCAGACAGGCACACGCCTACGTAATCCGATAACAATGCGCATTTTATGGTAATTACAACCTTCTGTATTCCGCTAAGTGACTCAATTTGCTATCACATCGCTACGCGCCATGAGCAGAAGTAAGGAGATTAAAGCTTCCACCGATAAAGAAAAACAAACACAGGAGAATGACCAAGGTACGTGATTTAATTGTTTGAAGTATACCGATATTTTATTTAATGCTGTTGTATTTTTCCTGTTATAAGAATTTATATTTATAAGAAGGTATTATGATCGACCAAGTACTAATAGAAATGCTAAACCCAAAACCCTGTAAGAATTTAGGCACTGAATATTATTCTAGCAAACTCGAGCAATAAAACCCTTATATCGTCGTCAACTTCCACTTGATTGCTTTTATAAGGAGGAACTATAAATCAAATCAAAGTTTGACCTCTATCAAAGGTTTCCGACATCGAAATTTCCATAATTCAACATCGAATTTCGCATGAATAACCATTTGACGTCACCAATCACCTGATAAGCTTTATACGGTCGAAGCATGACATTACTAGGGCAATCGTCTTCCAATAAACGAAAGCGAGTACCCCTGTTTTTGATGTCGTCAGTTTAGTTCGGAGCGCCGCGCAACCCAGCAGGTTACACGCCAAAAATTGTAACTTGACGACTAACATTCAAACAATCGTGTAGCCATGGTGACGAAACGCCCGATATCGCCGATTACAGAAATACACATGACAAAGTTTAATTCGTGCTAGCGAATAGCTCATGCAGCTGTTCGTAAACTTTTCTAACATGTTATGGTGGAAACAACTCGAAAGCGCTCAAGAGTACATAATGATGATTGAAAAAGAAGAGCAAAGAAAGGATTTCAGTGAAAAAACGACGGTAACCCTCACACTTCCTTCGATAAATCCCGTAATGCAAGATGAAATGTTCTTAGCAAACATTGAACAAGTTAAATCGCTACAAGCTTCGTTATTTCCAATATGCAGTAAAGGTAAATTACATTTATGACGAGTGAATGTAGCGCAAAAATTTTTAAATATTCTTCATAGTAATTGGCTTGTTTACCCACCGCATAAACTTTACCTACTAACTTAACTTACATCCAAAACTTCAATATTAGTTTTCTGAATAACTGATGAAAGTCAGTCATAAAGCATAATGCCTACTACTACACTAGTACTACTTATTGTCCTATATTTTGTGTCTATTTTCATGTTTTCTGATAATACGAAACAAATATGCATTTAATTGTAGTTGCGTGTCCAACTATGTATGTTTAAAATGCAGGATACCTTTCATAATTTCCGGTTTTATCTAATTCGGTTGTGGGACTCGCGTGCTTAGTGATGTTATTTGTGAAGCATAAAATGCCTTTAAATACGCAACCTGCCATTAATGCTATGAGCGACGGTTTCATTTCAAGTAAAGTAGGTCATAACAAGTAGGTACACACTATAACGACCAACCACAGGTTGCAACATTATTTTTCCAGCAACTAATTCATGTTATCTTTAAAAACTTCAATCTATCACAGGCAGGTTCAAATTTCCAACCATAAAGTATTTAACGTGATTTCTTTCACGCAGGGACGTTCATCTCGAATTTTCTCCAAAATAATATTAAAACAAATCAGTTAGAAATAAATACAGACATAAGAACATTTCGAACAACAGCAAAATTAAAGGAACCAAGGGACTTGTTCGCACTTCCAAAAGAGCTTGATTGTCCTCAGCAAGCACCTCGGTGGCCCACGGAATGTCAAGTAAGTGCCTTTAGCCTTCATAGAACTGTTGGACACTTTTCTGATATATTTTTTCGTGCATAGATATAATATTTTGGTGTAAACTTCCCGGTGTTTGATTGAATCCGAGTTAATGTTATTATTGTTTTAAATGATCTTGTATTAATCTCATTATTTCATTTACTTACTATGAAAAACATTTCAAAGAAGTCTTAACTTACGGATAAAACCTAATTAATTGTAAACACTTTAGGTAGTAGAGGAAAAAATTCAACACATTATATGGAGTCCCGCATCTCCTGAACCATATTACATATCATCAGGGAAGGAGCTGCAGCCACAACCTGTCGGTGAAGATGCAGGAACCGTTATTTTTCAATATTATCCGATGAGTGCCGTAAACTATGTAAGCAATTGTACATTAAAGTCTTCCAAGTTCCAAGTAAAACTTGCTGATGTACTTTCATTTTACAGTTTAGCCGGTCCACTGTCGGAGGATCTCGCTTATATTTATCAGCATGCGCCAGTGCCGGTGGAGAAGATGAACTAAGATTTGAATCTCGTTTTGAAAGTGGAAATTTAGCAAAAGCAATACGCATTACTTCAGCATATTATGAACTACATCTCCGCACTGACCTTTATACTAACAGGCATATGCAATGGTTCTATTTCAGAGTAACGAACACAAAAAAGCAAATGACATACAGGTAATACTGGTAGCATGATAAATCCTCGTTCCATGTTGATTCCTAAAAATTATACACATGCAAAATGTTACAGATTTTCCATAGTGAACTTATCGAAAGCCGAAAGCTTATACAACGAGGGCATGCGACCTCTATTATACTCGACCAAGGACGCTCAGTTGCATTCGATCGGCTGGAGACGATGCGGTGATAACATCGCTTACTACAAAAATGATTCGTCGTAAGTAATTAGGTAACTATGGGAATATAAATATCCATGAGTAATCTAATGATTATACAATCCAATCTTATTACAGGTCGGAAGAAGAAGAGCAATTTCCAAGTTACACATTAACATTCAATATAGAATTCCCTCATACAGACGATGCTGTGTATATTGCTCATTGTTACCCCTACACTTACTCTGATCTCCAAGAATATTTATCTAAATTACAATCTCATCCCGTTAAATCAACATATGCTAAACTAAGGCTACTTTGTAGAACATTGGCTGGGAACAATGTATATTATCTAACTGTAACAGCTCCACCGAGTTCTTGTGAAGCAGAGCAAAAGGTAAAATACCTGATTATTTTCTCATTGTTTGAAAAAACTAACAAATAATAACTTTGTACTAATAAGTACCGTTTGGATCAACAGAAAAAGAAAGCGGTTGTTATAACAGCAAGGGTACACCCTGGTGAAACTCCTTCATCTTGGATGATGAAAGGTTTTATGGATTATCTAACTGGAGATTCGAATCAAGCTCGCGAATTAAGGGAAAAATTCATATTCAAATTAGTACCAATGTTGAATCCTGATGGTGTAAGTGCAAATATGTTTAAAAAAATATATGTTCCATGGCGATTTTTATGCCATATTAAGTTTTTTCTATCATTGCAGGTAATCGTTGGTAACAATCGATGTTCACTGACCGGAAAGGATTTGAATAGACAATATCGAACGGTTATACGGGAAACATATCCACCCGTCTGGCATACGAAAGTGATGATACGGAGGTTAGTAAGAAACCAACAATTTCCAAGAACTCTGTCGAAGAAACTACTGTATTAATCTAATGAATTATTGTACATCAGACTGCAGGAAGAATGTGGCGTAGCAATGTATGTCGACCTCCACGCACATTCCCGAAAGCACAACATATTTATTTACGGATGTGAAAGCAGAAAAGCTTCTGACAAACGTTTACAGGAACAAGTATTTCCTTTGATGCTGCACAAAAATGCTGCCGATAAGGTAAACCACCAATCCGAATCTAGTTGCTCGAAATTATATTGCCATAATTGAGATTAAGCACCTTTTTTCAGTTCTCATTTGAAAATTGCAAATTTAGGATACAACGTAGTAAAGAAGGTACTGGTCGGGTCGTGGTTTGGATGTTAGGAGTCTCTAATAGCTACACAATGGAAGCTTCTTTTGGTGGCTCCGAATTAGGAAGCAGAATGTCTACACATTTCTCTGTCCAAGACTATGAAAGTTTAGGACGAACATTTTGTGAAACGTTGCTTGACTTTTGTGATGAAGATCCTAGTAAAGAACGATTAAGAACAAAAATTGTCACCAGGCTTTTGAAGGAAGGATCAAATGCAGATGAGCCAACGAATATTGATTTATCAGACTATTCAAGGTAATTGATATTTTCAGATTTGGGCCACGTAAATGACCCAAGTCGGCTAGTCTGGTTTTTAAATAAACAAACATACTTACATGAATTATTAGATTAGTCCTTATATTTTCAGTGATGAAGGAGATACTTCGAGTAGTAGTTCAGAAGGTGGACATAGAAGAGAATCCACAAAGCAACCGGCTCCACCTCCTTCACCCATATTTCCCGATATTAATAAAAATTTAAACGAGGTAGCTTTTTGGATAAGTTTAGCAACATTAGTTTCTTTACAAATTGGCTTGTAATAACGAAATAATTCATTTTCCAGAAACCAAGAAAACCACGGCCAAGGCTTGAAAAAATGAAACGAATCGAAAAGAAAAAAACGAAACGGGAAACTTTACAGGTGAGTACCAAATGAAACTGTTCGCGAAAAAGGCTAAACAAGACAATTTTATATTAATTTTTCCATCATGCTAAGTCGAGACACAATAGATGTGCGGATAACGGCGTTCGCTTGGGGGTTGATCAATAAATTTCATTTTTTAATACACAGGTATCACGAGCAACAATAGATTTAACATCAGATGCCATGACGGACATGTCATCGGACGCGGAATCGTACGATGGAAACCACAGTCCTATGAGGAGAGTTCAAAAACTGATTCACTCGTCAATGAAAGTTAAACCAAGGCGGAAGAAAAAAATGCCACCTGAACTGAAAATCGTGAAAGCACCGGTAACCTTCAGTTTTATAGCACTTTACGTAATTGATTTTTCTATTTCGACCTTAGTCGTGGTGGCTTTTCTTCGAAATATATGCGAAACTAGCGAACCGCTCTGGCTTTACACGGATCCAATGCTAATACTAAATTTCTCCACTGTTTAATAGATGTTATTATACATATAACTTCCTATTCAACTCTTTACTATTTAAAAAAACATACTAAAATCAAATCCTTTGCGTAGTTTTAAAGATTTATGCAAAGCGACTCTATTTTATACTATATGTACTGATGGTATAAGCTATACTTGTGTGTACTCATAGTTCAGTAGTTATGGACATAAGCATTACGAATTAAGTATCTATCTACTTTTTTAACGGCGTGTTGTGTATAGGAATACAATAAAAAAAAAAAATTCAAATCAAATTAGGTAAATACGATTTAGGTAAATGTGATAGGGCAGGCAGAGATATACATACATATGTGTTTCACGAGTTATACTAACACTGCTTCACCGACGCCTTGCCGATATCCCTTAAGAATCGACACCAGGCAACCTCCTACGCGTCGAAATACATCGAGAACGTTATTTCACACCGTTTTTCTGTAACGTCAACCCTATTGGAACAGAAACATAACTCCCTATATGTACAGTAAAATTTTCTTTAACTTTCTTTTAACTTTATTCTTTATATTTCAGACAAGTGATTCGCCTTATCATTCCGATCATGAAAAGGCCTTGAAATGTAGACGACCTAGAAGTGTATCGATGTTTAACGAGACAACAGAGAAACCGAGACTGAATCCAGCTTCATGGCATCAATTTAGGTGTTTACCGCCAGCAAAGTAAGTAAAATGTCATATTTGTATGAGATCTATGAATAGGGATGATGACCGTGTATGCAAATCAAAAATCGAATGAATCTGTCAATTACATAATGAAAAAATAGTAAAAAAGCACTGTTTTTATTTTGGGGTATAAGCAAACGGTACTACCATAGAAGGAATTTACGTTTGGCAGAAGAATATCGCAAAGGTGCTACATCACCGAAGAAGTACTAAACATATCTTGAAGTCACACAATATTGCATAAGTATCAACATATCTTCGAAATATTTGATTCCATAAGAAAAGTAAAAATGTGTCCAATATTTTGAATAAATCTAAAACACAGACATAGAAAAGGTCATTATCCTTATTCTAAAGAAACACAAAATTGTTTTACATAATACTAAAGTTGAATGCTATCCTTATGAACCTAATAAATAAAATTCTTTAAAGGTTCTAAGGCTTAGTACTTATTAACGTTTTTCATTATATTATTTCTGGTGTCCTTGAATGACCTAATTTAGCTTTGGTTACAAAATAGCAGTGAACTAGACTAAAACTGTAATTGAACTCAACTAAAAATGCAAAAAACCATTTCAGATGCTTATCGGAGGTAAAAAGTAGAAGTACTCAGCCATCTGAGCTGCAGGTGAAGTTGAGTACACTTAAAAGAAATGTGTGGACGGGAGTACAAAGTGAAGAAAAAGGTCCATTGTCATGGGGCATATCAAGTTTTGCAATGAATTCATATTTTACTGACAGTGAAGCTTTGTTACGGTATGTCTATTACACATGTTGTAAAATTGTTTATTGAATTCAAATTACTTTACTAACCATACTTACTTAAAAATAAATTGCCAGACACTTTTCTGTCCAGTGATGTTGAAAAACATTTAAAGATACATATACATTAGGCCCAACCCCAAAACAATAATTTATGAATCTCAGAAAGAGTTGCTTCGGGCAGCATCCTGTGTAGTTTCCTTGTGATCAAATTGTAATTAATTTCTATTTTAACAATTTCCAGATCCTGTTCTAAGAAACTAGAAGAGCTTGAGGGGGAACAACAAAAAGCTAAGGATGATAAAAAGAAGAAAAAAGCCAAAACAAAAAAGCTTACACTTAAAGTGCCAAATTCATTGAATGATAGCATAGAACCTATTAACACAAAATTACCAAAACCTTGGAAGAAAAAAGGAAAGTGAGTAGTTATTGATACGACTATGACTTGGACAGTATAACTTCTCCATACTCATATTAACTAAAATTATATTTATTTATTTTTTAGATTAAAAAGTAAGTCTGAGAGTTCCCCGTACCAAAACAATACCAGTTTTACGGACATACCTCGTAACACCCAACAAGTATCAAAATCAGTGCATGCAGAAAACAGATTAGCTAAATCAAGATTCAAGAAAGGTGCTATTGTCACCACTGCTGTGCAGTCGAAAAAACAAATTGCCAAAGCTAATATTATTTCTGACAACTCCGACTCAGATACTTCTCTTCAAATAAGCAAGAAAATTAAAAAGAAAAATAAAATTGTAAAAAGTAAGTTTTGTAAAACAATGTCTGAAAATAAATCTAAGAATTAAATGTGTTCTTTTTTGTGTTCCCAAACCAACACCCCCAGCAGAAATGTAATTAAATAATTTGTAGAATAATACTCAACAGGTTGTTTACATTAATAAAACAATTTGTTAGGTTTTTTATATCTTCAATAATTATATTTATTACTTTAGATATAAGGAATATTATTTATTTGTACCTATGTATATTGTGGTGATGATTATGTTTAATATTTTTTTTCCTTATTCATAGTAAGTAAATTATAATGAATGCAGGTCAATTTTAAAATGGAATTACTATGTAAAAGAATACAGAAATCTTCATGTAAAAGATCTTTGATAATATTTATTTGTAATCTTATCTTATGACCTTAAAATATAGGTACATTTGATGTTAATTTCTTATGAATGAATACTACAAATGAGTTGTCTCTTTCATCAAAACTCTCATAGAACAAAATATTAACTAAAGAAATGAACAGAAAGTTATAACCACTTAGTTCAGTTACAATTTACAAAAGAATGTTAAAAAAAAGGGTTTCTATATCACAACAAAATCATGGGCATGCTAACAGGCTCAGCTCACTAAAAGAAGATTTTAATCCTAAAATATACAATATCAGGACATACCTGTCAAGATTTCTTAACATCAATATTTTAAAACCATTACAATGAATCATGTAATTTATTTAAAAACTTGATATGATACTTCAATTAATAATATATATCTTAGCTATTAAAACTAATGTAAGTTGAGTAAATTTTTATATCCACTGATTTCCCACACTTAACCAATATTCAGGTAAATTTCAAGGACGACTATCAAGCAATTAAAAAATGAGAAAAGGTAATGGTTAAACTTGAATAAATAGTTTTAAGACTGTATGTTCTAGTGCCTACTACCACAGCAACGGATAAAAAATATATAAAGTTTTATTTAAACTTGTCGCAATGCTAAAAGCATCAGCACATGAAAACTTATAAAATTCACAATAATAACAAAACTGCAACAGGAGTACTTACAGATTTGAGGATATTAATGCTGCCAACAATATTTGATAGCGAATAGACGTTGTACCGTAACTACTTAATCTTGGAGACCTTTTTACTTTATTTTTTAAAACTTTGCAAAACATCAGTTAATTCATTTTGAGTTGACACTTATTTTGACAGTTTGCAGGTTCAATTTGACATTGACTTTTGTCACAGTCAACTTGCCGGAATACTCTTCATTCATTTGGCAAGTTATCGTTCAATGTGAACTCATGCTCCAAATGAAATCTTAATGCAGAAACATACTTACGTATCGTGAATTGTCGCAACGTCAACGTCTGAACGAACGTGGTTTTATTTTACACCACACGACACACTTGCTCCTGGCTCATCACGAAATGCCTGATAAAGACGTCTTATGAGGTCTTTGTTCATCAGTGTACGTCTTCCAGCTCCATTGATGATGATTCAGTGCAAGCACAAAAATACGCTCCTATCTTTTTAATAATTCTCTCCTGGATCATATCATTATTAATGCGTTAAAAAAAAACACATACTAACTCTGAGTGAAATCGAACCTGGACCCAGGCTACTGAGCTGTAGGTTTATTCAAAGCTTAAAAATATTTTTTTTTCTTACCAGAAACATAGTATTTCATAGGAAACAATAATAATAAAAGAAGGACTAGCACACATTTGTGAGCCAATTTGACTGCGTCAAATTGGTAGAAGCTGTGCAGAAAGAATTACTGACAGGTGTGTTAGCTGAAAATGCTAAAACTCTGAGATCTCCTGTTTCTGAAATCTGAAGAGCATTGCTAACTCTTGCTCCAGAAGAAGTATATCCAGGAAGTTGTGGTTCTCCTGTGATAGGATTGAATGTACCACACCTCGATTTTGCCAATATGCAGGAAGTGACATTTCTGTAAAACCTAACATTATCTGCATCTATCGTTATATTCACACCCGTTCTTGCTTCTCGTGTACATTGAGTAATCTGTAATGTGAAATAAGTAAATTATGCTTCTGGCTGATAATAATATGTAGGTACAGTTTTTATTATAATGATATCAATACACACCAAATTAACTGAGTTAGCTGTTCTAAGGCACCGAACAAAATCACAGTAGCCCATGAAACATCCTGAAGGTTGCACATTTAATGCAGATGTGGATAGGGCCTGCAAATTAAAATAAAACATTTCATGCAGCTCATCAGCCACTTCAAATTAACAAAATAATGTAAGTAATATGTACAATACGTACATACAGTTTGAGATCTGTTGGTATCTTTTGATACGTATGGTCCGCATAGTAGGTATTACTTACCATGAGAGCTGTAGCACATGCTGCATAAGCGCCAGTAAAATATTGCACTGCGCAAACACTCAGCGCGTTCAACTCTTGAGGTCCCTTTAAATATTACAATCGTTTAATACATAAGTCTTGTTTTCAGATTATTACGATAATAGGTAATTATAATACAAATCTTTTTTTCTCTTATATGTAAAAACGAACATCGTATTTGACTAACCTCAGGCATCGATGTTACTTGTGAAAAACAATTAATACAAGCATCTCTCAAGGTAACGTTAGTAGGTTGTGAAGTACTGCATACGATATTCAATAAATTTTGTAGTTGCTGGCTGTAAAGCAAAAACCATTTGAAAAATAATTATATATTTCATTGGAATTTCACTATCCTGTATAGGTACCTACCTACACAATGTTACACATAACAACTTACCCATTTGATGGACATAAAGCTTGAAGTTTTTGAGTTTTCCATTGTAATATCTTATTTTTCACATCGCTGAAGTCGAATCCACCACCGTTTGTTGTAATTCCGATCTGCGAAGTAATTAATAAAATGTTAAATATTTCGTAGTCAACATTTAAAGCAATTTTTTATAATAGGTAATCAGACTCTAACCTCACTGAGATTGAGTAAATTCTGGTTCTTCCACTGTAAAATACTTTTTTGAACTTCATTAAAATCTATTATAGTGCTATTTGACCCGATCTGTGGGACGAATGCAAATCATAAAGTTCTCATTATTAAGTTAGTAATAACTAATAAAATAAATAATGTACTAAATATAAGAAAATAAGTAGGTAGGAATAATTTAACACAACATTAAGGATACTTACAAAACATATTAGTAAAATTCCAGATTGTATTTTAAACATTGTACAAATAAATAACGAAGCATTTAAAATGGGCTCTAGGAATAAGCGAGTGTTCCCAACTAAACCGCTAAACCGGTTTTGTCATGATCAAAAGCAACAATGTGACACATTTTAACGGATGTATTCATGTTTAAATACTCTTTACACAATTATAATCGTTACTCCCCGCTACACTTTTATACAACCCATTCATGTGCAAACTAGCGTGAAGCAGCGAAAGTGTTAATGATACATTTACAACGTGATAAACTTGTATACGTACCTTATATTGACTATGTAAGTAAGTACCTATATGTAATCATCAAACACACTATTTCTTGTACTTGTTGAGTCCAACCCGAGTGTACAGCGCGTTGAGATCCCCGCGCGCATCAAAGGACCAATACAACATCACAGACAGGGCCACACAAAGCACCGCAGCCTGGACCCAGATCAGGAAAAGGAACTAGGTTTTTAGTCAGTAAGAGTCTGACACTAATCAAATCTAACACTCTTGCCCCTCACTATGCGGGAGAAGTCATTTGATGATTTCCCCCCACAGACTTATACTCAAATATAAATATAAGTATGAGTCTGTTATTAAACCGTCAGCTTGTTTGCCGTCCCATTACATAAAAAAAAAATATTATTAAAAAAACAAAATACCCGACTGCACACTAAAAAAAAGAGTAAAACAAGCCCCACAATACAAATTTACTGAATATAATTTATAAATGTTGATGGAAAGCATCGCAGGCGGGGACCAACAGAGGCTTATTTATAGTCATTTCTGTTGTGCACCATTTAGCAGAATTTTCGTTGGTGGCGGTCAAGGTGGTCCCTGGAAAAAACGTATCCTATATTAATTACTCCCGTGATTGAAATGAATCTAATGATACCGCATACATATTTTTTTAAAGGGAAATTTAGAAAAAATATTATTATGTCTTTATCCCGTGGGACTTTTAGGATAAAATGTATCCTATGACACTCCCGTAATCAAGACAAATCTAACGATACCTCATACATCAAAATCCATCAAGCCGTTTAGGCTACAGGAGGTCACAAAGAAAAAGACATACATACATACTTACATACACTCGAAAAACATTACCCTCCTTCTTTGGCAGTCGGGTAAAAAATTATGAATTTTTCACAAATTGCGCAGGTTTTAGGCATTAAAAGTTTTCCAGTCAGAAAACCTATAGGAATATTCTTTGATGAATTTCATAACATTTGTGATTCGTTGAAGTATCGCAAATCCGATATGTAGGTACAGCTACCAAAATGAATATCTTTACTTTTCGTTTCGTTCATAATATACATATACAATATACATGGCCGTAATACGACCACAATACGACGTTTCATTTTTTCCATTTTACTTGAGTTAAAAATGCTTCTTTATTTGTCAAAAACAAAGAAGTAGAAGGATAATAATATCAATAAAGTTAATTAAAGAAAAAAGATACTTGATTAGCTATCTGTGTGAAAATCAATTTTCTTCCAGCATTATCAGTCATTTCATTCATTCATTCATTCATTCATTCTTGTGTGACCGATGCAGCTTGTGACTGACGGTGTTCCCATTTTCTTCAATTTCATTAATTTATTTTAATTTCTTTTTGTTTTATGATGATTGAAGGACGTGCAAATGTAAGTGTCCAGTTTATAACTTGAAATAATAATACTTTATATACCTTTTACTCTCTGTGATAATGGTTATTTTTTTATAAAATGTTAACTTTCAGGAACTACCCGATTTTCAAGTCTTTCAGACGGTAATAAAATACTGTTTGATCATTATTGTGGTCCCAGTGTTTTCATTCTTTACTGCGAAGAGTGTTTTATTCGATGGAATCTTACGATTGGAGCCTATTACGAGCAGTGTATATTCCGCTGTAGTTGCGGTCGTTGTGCTACATCTCACTCTCGGACTTTACATTTTCAAAGCCTACTCCGATTCAGAAAAATCGGAAAAGCCTCTTAAAAAGGACTAAGATTTTATAAATAGTTGTAAAATACCTCATCGCAAAATGGACAACTTATACATGAAAGGTGAATTATTACAAGTTCATACTAAAAACAGTGAAATATTCGAAGGCCGGTTTTATGGAATGACTAATGATAAGTCTAAGATTTCTCTTTACAATGTCAAAGAACCAAAAGGAGATCCAAGTGATGGCATTTTGCACTACTATGATTCTGATATAAGGGATATTGTTAAACTTAAGGAGCCAGATGAACAAAAGCATTTAAAAATATCAGAAAAAGAATGTGAAGAAATAATAAAGACATCCAAAAAGTATATATACATAAATCAAATTGATAAGACTTTCCATGAGGCAATGGAAGACTTGAATCAGTATAATTATATTGGCTTGAGTACTGATGGTGCTAACATGGGAAGAAAATGTAAAATGCCAGTGTTGGTATTGTCTACACCTCATCAGATTTATATATTTGACATTCATGTCATGGAGTACCATGCATTTGAAGCTGGATTAAAGAAACTTTTGGAAAGTGATACTCCTAAAAAGATAATTCATAATTCTAGAAATGTATCAGATTGCTTGTTTCATAAACATAATGTCAAGTTGAATTCAGTATTTGATACTCAGGTAATGGTATTTTGCCATTAAAAGTTAAATTATCATCACAATGTATCAGTCAGTAACTCAACACATTAATTACAGGTTGGTGATCTACTTATCACAAGAAACAAAACTGGCCGCCTACCAGAAAAAGTAAAAAGTCTAGCCCAATGCTTAAATCTTTATCTTGGCTTACAGCTGTCTTTTGTAGATGACAAAGTGAGTATACCTTTTTGTATTAAATTTTCACTAAAAAACTTAAACTCTTCTAAGATTTTTCCTTTGTGAAGAACTATTTTATAAACTTATTTAAAATTCCTTATATTATTTACAGTTTGGCGTTGTGGAGTGTTCTGCCCGCCCATTGCCTGTACAGATGAAAGACAGCCTCGCCAAGAACATTGCATTCTTGCATCGGCTTTCAGAAACAATCAATGAAGAAATGTTACTGCCATTTGTGAGAGGTGTTGAATGCTTTGTAGAAAATATTAGATCTCTGGATGACTTCAAAGCTTGGGAACGTTGTGGTATGCAAAATCAAATACCAAAGGATTTTAAGAGTGCAATTGAGTATTAAATACTGTCTTCAACACACATTCCGAAGAAAAACAATACAAATGTAGAATTAGATTTTTTTTTTCTTGCACATTTTGGTTTCATGCTTTTTGACTAGTCTCTTAAAATTACAGTATTAATCACAAGTAATCGGAGCATATTGTAGTTGTTTACAATTAGATTTACTCTATTTAAAAAAGGCATAAGTGAAACAGCTTCTTTCTAGTAAGTACTTAATACTTTATTATTAGGGCAAGTGTTTGACTATGTTTAAGCTACATATATTTCAGCTCCAGTAAGAAAGCGAAATACATTTGCAAATTTTGGAACTGACTTACAAGTTTCCAAAGACATATAAAGTTAAGTGTAAGCTTTTAATATCAAAAACAACAGCTTTTGTCTTTAATGTATCTGTGATCACTCAACGCAAGTGTCTGATAGGCTTTGAAATAGTCATAGATTATTTTTATATTTATAATGTTGATAAAGTATCACATTTATTTCTTGTATTTATAATTCTCTATAAGGTTCAACTGATATATATTTTGTATGTAGGTTATATAAAGAAATTTCGTCATATCTTGTCTCAAAATAATATAATTGTGTAATAATTAATACCTTTGATGTAAGATTCATATTTTGGGAGTGTTTACTGATGGATTACTTATGGTTTGGATATGTGTGGGCTTAAATTGACACTTTATAAAGAAGCTTGCTTATGTGTCATTAAATGCCATGCTTGAATAAAACCTGTATGTGCTTGAATATAGTGTATTATTTTTACAATAAAACTCCTTCATATTGCAAATAATTATAATAAACTCTTAACATATTAGCAACAATAATAATTAATAGATGAGTTATCTATGAGGCTTCTCTTAAAAATAAGTTAGGATAAAATGCCAGGCCTTCAATAGACTCGTCTCGGCACGCCATACCAAGGCGTTCAGTCGTGAATAGGCGCTCGCGTGCTAACAGGACGGAAACATTTGCAATTTGTGATAGCTTCACTGGAGTCAGGTACCCATTTTCTTCAAGCTGAAATATTAAAGAAATATTTTTGACCCAACTATAGGGAAGCTATTGTTTACTTCAGGTGGTACATATTAATTATTTCAAACTTGCTATTGCCAGAAGCTTCACTTGCAGTACCAGAGTAAATCTGTTTCTCCAAACCTACTTACAAACTTTAATATTACTAAGATTAACAATATTTCAAATACAATGAAAATATTTACCAATTCACAGGTAGTCTTGGCTACCTCCTCATCCCTTTGACTATTTAGCTGAAGAACACATGCACCACTTGGAAATTTCCTAAGAGTCATTGGGGCACCAATGGTTTGCAACAATCTAAAAAACAAAGTAAATAAAAAAGTTATAACTGACACCACTTGTGACATGATTAGCAAGCAAATCAATTTGTAAACTTACTTGCAGGCATTTAAAAGATCTTCAGGAGATATTAGTTCTAGACCTCTGGCTCTATTTACTCTGCACCATACATCAGCTAATGACATAATTCCTCCACAATCCTTATACAAACAAATAATACATATATAAATAAAATGGTAGTTGTAACCATTAACAAAGTATATAAAACTGGATTGAAAAAAGTTACCATGAGTACAGCCACCATCATGTCAGAAATTTGTTGTGAGAGTCCCAAATAGTAGTCTGAGTCAGATCTAAATGCATCCCTGGTTACTGGATCATCAATACCTAAGCTCATGAGGTAGGCTTTAAATCTAACAGTATCATCTTCAGAAATGTCACCTTGCTTATCCTGTAAGAAAGAAGGTGAACTGTTGATTGGAAGGTTAAATTATTTCTTTTTGTAAGAATTTATCAATAATTACCCTGATTTTTGTAGAAATGTTTTTCGAAATTGCAACCATGTCTTTAGCTTTTTCCATTAGCTTTTTCAAATCTTGAAATGCTACACTAATACTTTCATCAGTTGCTCTGTGTTGTTCTTCTATACTTCTTTCAATACCAACAATTCCAGAACGGATTTTTGAGTTGACAGGTGTTACTGCTGGTTTTATTGATGCATTTGAGCTTGTTACACTTGTTGGTGAAGAAATAGTTGCTGGCCTTTCCCATGCTTTTGCAGCAACAGCGTCAGTTAGAGCCTTATAAAATACTTGGTCAATTCCATCTTTGAATGAAAATTTTACAAAGTGGAATGGACTTGCCACAGCAGGTCCTGGTCTTTTGCCTGAAAAAGAGTAATTAGAATATGTGCAGCATAAAACATACCAACATACAACATGCATAACTATTAATTACTAATTATGAAATAAAGAATAGCAATATATACTACTAATTACAAATTGTTACCTGGTAGTGCCGGTCCCAAATGCAATATGATTCGTTTAGGTCCACCAAGACCAAATACTCCACCACTTTCTTCTTCTATACAAAAGACATAATATAAATGTAGTGATAAGCATACAAGTCCTTTGGGTATATCTCCAGGTTTTCCCCAGAGGATTCTGTGTGTAGTAAGCACTACTTCTCCATCAGTAAAATGAGTCTGAAACAGATGTAAACATTAAGATTTGTCTCATTTCCGTAGCGTATAGAATTAATAAGAAAACAGGTATATTACGATCACCGAGAGCAGTAGTATATTCTAATTATAATGTAAGCTAAACTTTTGTTTGTAAAAAGCATAGGCCCAAAACTTCAAAATAAACAACCTTATCATCACCATCATAAATCTTCACATTTTTATCACGTTTAAGGTAATTTTCACCTTCGAATAAACGAGCTTCAATATATTCAAATCTATCCATCGTACAATATCATTTAAAATAAATTTTATCTAGAGATTTTGTAATATTTTCGATGATGAACAAATCGAAATTGACTAATTTGACTATTTGACATTTGCGTTTTGTCACTTGTCAGACTGACAGCTTTTGTGACATTCGTACCAACATTTTCTTTATTTACATTATATGTCTTCAAATATTCAATAAATAACACCGTTGAGAGTTAAATTATTTATTAGTAATTTTAGAAATAATTTTCTGAATTTCTTGTCCGCTTAACAATTTCCAATATTTTGCTGCCATGTCAATAATAAATTATCACTTTGTCAAGACTGTTCATGTCTTCATGACTGTCATTACTTGTCATCCACAAGTCACTGTCACATTTAGATAGTGTGTTCCAGTACTTCCAGTTAGTTTTCGAATAGTTCTAATTAAATGCATGATTGTAAGATAGATTACGTTGAAATAAAGTTATTGAGTGAAAGAGAAAGAATAAATTTATGTTGTTGACTGAGTATTTTACTTTCATGTCATATAACCTCCAATTTATTCTTTGGTAGTGTGCAGTGCAATTGCTTAGTATTCGTCGATTGTAAAAGGAAAGGTATGAAACATTTGAGAGCCTGTAATTATTTCTTAGCAAAGAGCACTTTTACTTTGAAGCCTTGAGAGAACAGACCTTTGGAATAAATTTAAGTTCAAGTTTATTAAAAGTTACTATGGCAGATACTCAAGAATCTTTACTTTCAAAAATTAAAGAACAAGGCGATCTTGTGCGGAAATTGAAAGCTGCGAAAGAATCAAGTGAGAAGGTAAGTGTTTACTTAAAATTTTATTTTCCGGCTGCATCTTAACATATTGATATCTTATTCTAACATTGCATCATACTGTGGGAAGTAAATATGAATTAATTTGATTGTAGGCTAAGAAGAATAATTTACAGTACAATTTACCAGAGATTGACAAACATTTATGTGATTATAGTTACATTTGTGGGTACAATCCCAGTTATTGTGATATAGAATTAAAGAATGACTTAGGAAATAACATAGACTTTGAAAAATACAAGTCCATCAAGAGGTGGTGGTACCATATGGGGAGTTTCAGTGACTTTGAAATATCATTGTTACCTAGATTGAGTCCTCCTAAAGTGTTGGAAAAAGTGAAAGATGGCACCACACTAGATCAGCAGGTGTGTTCTCATGCTGTGGTAGATTTAGGTTTTGCTTTGTGTACATACTATTGGCTGAGCATGAGACATTTGCAAAATTTGCCTGGTTTTTGGTTCACCCTTCTAAGTAGATAGTTGTTGAATCTCCACATATGGTTGTTTTGTCACCACAACCTCTTTTTTATAACTTTCATTAACCACTACTGAATTAATCAGTCGCAAAAAGTTGATAAAAACCATTTCCAATGTCTGATGTGAATTTCTTTTTTTCCGGTTGTAACAAAAGTAAGGCTGTGGTGACAAGATATTCCATATTTGAAATTGTGGGAACAGAACTAGTGAAGCATGTCTCATAAATTGTTGAGGTTCCTAAAGAACCATGCAACTGTGATGAGATTACACAATCCAGTAGTCAGCACTAATTTCACAAAATGTATTGCAACAACATCTCAGTGCAAGGTACTGGCCTACTTAAGTAATGCTTTACTATTTTATTTCAACAATAAAAACTACATTAGTAACTAGTACTTTAATATCCAATATTAGTCTATTGTTTCTTACTTTGCTGTTTTCTTTTTTTTTTGTTTAATCAGCAAACATTTTCTTTGCTTCATCCAATGGCTGTCACTTTAATTTGTGAGCAATTGTAATTTCTATTATTAAAATTACAAAGAGAAAGCATATTATTTTTTTGGCTGTGACATAAAAAAAATGTTGGAAAACAATACTGTCCCTGGTCAACTTAGACGATAAACTATTTAGGTGCAACCACCGGACACAGCTAGTTTTTATATATTATTATAACAATTAAACTGTTAACAAATACTATTCCAAGTGGTATTACCCACTTTATATACTACACTCTTCATATTTTTTTTGGTTTTAAATTCATCTGCTCTTTTGCTATATTTATAGAAGTCTGAATATTCTTATTCTTAAAGGAAGGTGTGTTTACATAATTAAGAATAATAATTTCCTCACTATAAACTATTGCACTGTTTTTCCATCAATTGTCTAACTATGTACCTATATATATTCTAGATTCAGGAGGAAGTAGCTAAGCTATTAGCATTGAAAGCACAACTTGCTCCCGCTGAAGATGCAGCTCCTCAAAAATTCACCCTTAAGACTCCTAAGGGTACACGGGATTATAACCCCCAGCAGATGAGCATAAGGAATGGAGTCCTACAAAAGATTATTGCTGTATTCAAGAGACATGGAGCTGAATGTATTGACACACCTGTCTTTGAACTGAAGGTGACATTATTTTATATTTTTCTTATTTATTTATATTTAAATTTCTGCCAAACATTGAATATATGTAGAGGAATAATTTTAAACACTATTAATTTGTACTATCTGATCATAGTACTAGTTAAGTCTTAATTTTTGGTAAGTTGGTAAGTTAAATTAAGGTTGGTAAGTTATAATAATGATGAAGAAATATTGTATTTAAAGATTTTCTTTTTTATTTTCCAGGAAGTTCTAACTGGAAAGTATGGTGAGGATTCTAAACTTATCTATGACTTGAAAGACCAAGGAGGTGAGATTTTGTCTTTGAGGTACGATTTGACGGTGCCTCTCGCTCGGTACTTAGCAATGAATAAGATCAATACCCTGAAGAGATACCACATTGCTAAGGTGTACCGTCGAGACAATCCTGCTATGACAAGAGGCAGATACAGGGAGTTCTACCAGTGTGTAAGTATTTTTATATTTTAATTAATAAGAAGAATTTTTTTTAGTAGATGCATTTATAGTCACTAAAAAAGCTAAAACAAGTCAATCCTCAACACAAAATTTCAATTTTT